AGTTAAATTTTATTTCAATATTACAGATAAACACACCTAAATTTTATTCATATTTATAGATGAGCTTATTTTTATGTCGTAATAACCGGGCTTAGAGAATCCATCACTCCGCTTCGTCCCCTGAGTGTCGTTAATCTGGGAAAAGTTGAAAATATTTCACGACTGCTGACAGTTGGCAATATAAACATTTTATTTTACCAAAGAAATACCAGGCAACCATAAAAACCTACGTTTATTCTCCGTTGAGAATTGAAATCCTGATGTTTTGTAACACATTAGGTCTAAGTTGAGATGCTTCATTACTTACCATACGAAACACCGCAGCATTAAGTCTTTTTTACCCGACTGATCCAGAAGGAGAATAACGATTTTCAACATTTTGATGTATGTACATATGTACATACATACAAGAAATAGTTCTTTGGCACGCTCTGTAAACGTTGGTATTCTATGAGAGCTTAGCCTATTCATACGTGTTGCTCAAGAGCCTCAACGCAGTACACAGCTGCGTTGAGGCTCTGCCACGTAAAAGTTAAAGAGTATGTAGATTTGTGTGACTCCGCGAATACTGTTAATAGCCTCTGTCAAAATTATTAATAGAATCAGGCGTTGAAATCCATTATATTAAAGATGGTAATTAAGAATGGCTCATTTAGCGGCCAGCCAATACAGAGTCTACTTCACCTGAGGACGATTTGTGTAGAGGCCGAAACACGGGTCGAATTATCAACGGTGGTATGTCTTTCCTAGTGAAGTGGTGCCGAGAGTAGTGGTGCTTGGGTGCGGTTACGTGGATAGTGCACGCAATTAACGGAGGGTGATAGGTGCTCTTCAAACTAGTTAAGACACATCGTTTTATTTTACTATGCGGATCATACATAACAAATTGATTTTTAACGTCTTTAATATTATTCATTAGTGAAGGTTTTTCAAATATTTCAATTATGTTTTTAGCATCTTCCTAATAACAATTCAACTCTTATATTAAGGGAGCCGTGGCAGCTCAGATGGTTAGCGCTCGCTGTAAATTTGACAGTACGCAAGCAACCCGGGTTTGATCCCCGCCGGCACCAATGAAATTGTTAATTGCAATTTTAAGTGCTGATTTACCACGTACTCGGCGGTGAAGGAAAACATCGTGAGGAAACCAACATGTCTGAGAAATAAGAAAAAAAAATTCGAAGACATGTGAAGTTCGCCAACACGCATTGTGGCAGCGCGGCGGACATTGCCTTGTCCTAAAACCCTCTCAGAAATAAGAGGAGGTCTGTTCCCAGCAGTATGACGTTTATAGGTTGTAACTTTAACTTTTTTAACTTTCTTATGTTTTAACTATTTACCAACTCGATTATTAAAATAGCTTAAGTAATTAATTCGATAACATATTATTTTATAATTATATTATATTATAATAACATATTATTATTTGATAACAACATGCACAGTCGACACTTCGACACAAGTGGAAACTTCTTTAGCATTGTTGTGATTTGAAACTCAGTGAAACAAAAAAGCGACACTAAAAATAGAAAAATATATAAAGAACAATGGCAGACTTTTATACATAAAATTACTTGAGAAGAAATGGTAGCGTCTATATACCAAAAATATTTTAAAATGTTAAGCCTCAGTCCCTTAATAACTCTGTCAAAGAATTTTGTACTGAGAAGACGTCAAAAAAAATATATTCACATTTGAACTTTTTAGGTTATGTCCTACGTCACTTGTAAAAGTCATGCTTCCTGTGGTTGTTTGATGTTAGCTTAATACATAATACATAATTGGGAGTTTTTAGATTATTGTATCTCTATTATATATTTGCATACTATAAATGTATATTTCTGGCATGGCTCCAGGTCTTTTGTATCATAGTGACATTCTCAGAAGGGCTAGAACCCAGAGCCATTAAAACAGTAAAAAAAACAGTGACATTTTATTTTAGCTAGTGTTGGCATAACATTAAATGGAATTGTTACATAGTACTATGATTGAGATAATTTATTATTGTAGGAAATTCTTTGTAAGAGACTTATTCTCAGCCATATCACTTATTTTTATTATTACTGATAGTACAGTTATTACTAATAATAACTTAATATAAAAATATTTTGTGTGTTGTGTTGGTAGTCTTACAAAGTGTATACGAAAATAGTATAAATATACTAAATGGCAATATTTGAATAGAGTAAAATTATTTAAGTCATTTGATATTCCCCAAATTGTTTGTTTTTTTCTATGGCTTCAATTAAAATACATTTTTATTTGAAAAATCATAGAAAAATAATAAAACTCATTTGATATATAACTTATTTCTAGACGCTATAATTTTTGTCAACTATTTTTCTGCCATTGCTCTTTATAGGAAAGAATCAGATAGAATCTATAGATACTAATATAATAAAGCGTAAGAGGTTTTTTGTTTGCTTAAACACGCTAATCTCTGGAACACCACCTCTCAGGTAGCCTTAAATATTGTTTTTCGTTAAGCAGGTTGGAAGCAAAAGAGCTCCCAAACCGCTTTATCCGCGTGCGCTTGCGTAATGGTTAGTTATACGTAAATACAATTTTCTACAAAAATATGGATCATTTCTCTATCTAAAAAGCGTAAGCGATACCATAGACCTATCTCTTATACATAAGCTACGATAAGGTATTTTGTGATAAAAAATATTAAAAATTATAAAGTGATTTATGAGCGTTATTATTAGTAATCCTTACGAACGAAATTTACTTCATTATCAAGAAAATTTTATGCAGATAAAGTTTGCTGCTTATAGAATATTATTTGGACGCTTAGTTTAAGAGATAATGAAAAATTAAAAAGGCACGAGAAAAATAAAAATAAATAAATCATTTGCATTCCAATATTTTTTTACTTTTATTTATATTTATTTATATCTTATTTCATTTGAAGGTTTCACTCCTACTGCGTGTGAACAGCACACATTTTTTTTACTTCCGTATTTCTGCTTATGCATCATTTTTATAATAATCATATAAAATACATTCCTTTACAATAAAATCAGTGTTAGTACGACTTTCATTGGGTTTGTTTCGTACATTAACTTTCCTTTACGTCTCGTTTTGCATTCATCTTGTAAACTGTAGACTACAATTTCTTTGGTTCTTCAAAACGTTCGCGTTACATTCGAGGTAAACAGTTTCTTTGGTCCTTCGAACCATTCTCATTAACATCCAAGATAATCAGATTCTTTATTGTTTCTTTATATCCTTGCCACCATCAATGAAGAGCTCCTGAGCAAGATCGATGACTATGACATTCAATGGCACTTTAATGCGCCAGCCTACCCCTCAGCAGGTGGGCTGTAGGACGCTGTCGTCAAAAGTTTAATACACCATCTACGTCGGGTGAAAGGTGAGCAAAACTCACGTACGAAGAGCTTATCACACTACTTCACCAAATAGAGGCGTGCCTCAACTCTCGAACTCTGACTACCCTGACCGAAAATGCAAATGATGAATACCTAATACCTGGACATTTTCTGGTTGGAGGATCACTAATATCAAGATCTCAAGTTTGTACAAATTGGAGAACACCATCAAAAATATTGAGGTCAACGACATTGTCCTTATCAAAGACAAAAATTTGCCCCCAGCAAGTGGTCAATGGGTAAAGTCGTCGCCGTTCACCCTGGCAAGGACGGATAGGTGGTGTGCGTCAAAACTAAGAATGGAGTTATGCAGAGGCCAATTTTAAAAACGCACCACTCAGCGTATATGACGTACACCAGTACTCAGTTATGTATTCAATACTGGGACCGATCGTTATAGCGGGATGTGCTTACGTGATCACGCGATGTCGCAAAAGCAAGAGAGCACTGTCGCTGTGACGAATACCCCTGCGATTTAAATCCCGATGGCGACGGTAAGAAGTGGAGACTAAGAGGCTGTCACACCCATGAGGAGCCCACCGCGATCCGTGCGACTGGACATTCCGTCGCAAGTGTAGTGCAGTGAGGAAATATTTAAGGATTTATATTATTTTACTTTGTTTTCTTTACTTTAGATTGTTATATTCTTGTTGTTGTGTACTTACTTCTTAGTATCTCTTTTTTTGGGCCGGCAAGATGTACGGATTACCGCACAATCCTCCCACTCTCCCTCAATAGCGCGCACTATACCCGTCGCCGTTAATCCCAGCACTACCACCCCCAGTACCACCACATTAGGAACGACACACGACTCTCGAAAATACGACACGTGTTTCGCCTCTACACGAGGCATCCTCAGGTGAAGTCGACTCTGCGGTACACTGTGATAATACTTTAAGGTGTATTTTTAAATTATCTCTATTGGAAAACCAATGCCGACACTCCTCATTAAGCCAAATGTTTTGAGCTTTACAAGTAGCAACTTTGGCCGCGTATTTCGATGTAATTAGGAATAACATGAAGTTGTTTGCACTGCTGATTGAACCAAACATTTTGGGCAGCAATACGATGGGGTTTTGTTAATTTGACATAGAGTCTTGCCTGGTCGGCCGTGCTATTTTTTTTTAAGATAATTGGTAGAATCAGGCGTTACTTTGCGGAAATCCATTATAATGGGGTTGTTATAAACTAATATGCTTAATTCCGTGTAAAGAAAGAAAATGATGTGTCTTTTCTAGTTTTAAGGGGACCTCCCACCCTCCCTCAATCGCGCGCACGATCGTGGGAGGATGGGAGATCCCCTTAAAACTGGGCAAGACACATCATTTTCGTTATTTACTCTGAATTAAGCAAATTAGTTTATAACAACCCCATAATAAAACCAGTGTTACAATGACTTTCATTGGGTTTGTTTCGTACATTAACTTTCCCTTACATCTCGTTTTGGACTCATCTTGTAAACTGTATACACACTACACACTTTTTAATATTTGAGTAAATGATTTATAATCGATTGTGAAAATAATCGATAATCAGTTTGCTACTTGATAGAAATTAGACAAAGGTTATATTGGTTGTTGTTGTCAGGCAATCGTCGCGTGATGGCGCATGGAGTGCGCGAGGACGGCGTGGTGCGCGACGCTGGCGCTAGCGGTGCTGGCGGCCGCCGGCCCGCGCTACAGCTCGCGCATCGTGCACACGAACACAGGTCATATATCAGTAGTATCTAAGACTTCCATGGTTACTACATAAGATCAAAAACTTCTATGATGTATACTACATCAGTAGAACCGGCGCGCTGCAGCTCGTGCAGGGTACACAAAAATACCGGTTGAATATCAGTAGTATCAAACACTTTCATTTATACTTCATCATTAGAATCAAATACTTCTATATATACTATGGGCTATTTGGTACTAATACATTATTAATATTTATCAGTAACGGCAAAGAATTCCATGCATATACTACATAAGTAGCGTCGAAAACTTCCAAGTATGCAACATCAATAGGACCGACTTTCTAGATAAGCAACTTTTACCTTACTCTACTCAGGAGCAATCAGAGGCATCATAGTGGAGCCGGCGTCAAGGCGACTGGAACCAGTGGAAGTGTTTCGAGGAGTGCCTTACGCAGCGCGAGCGGAGAGGCTCGGTCCACCACTTCCTCCACAGAACTGGTCGGGCACGCGATTGGCAGATGCTTTCGCGCCAGTCTGCCCGCAACGTTACCCAGATATATCGAACAAGTAAGCATACTATATTATATAACAGAGGAATGGATAAAAACTAAAAACTTTCATACAATACGAGTTTCGTATAGTTAGTGACGAGAACTTAAGACCTTTTTTTCTACTGGAGCGGCATTTCTTCATACTCCTCAGGGATGACAATGCATCTGTATTTGTATTTTTAATATAAGATGTAGATAGTTATTAGCCATCGCATTCAAATACATAAAATATCTTAAATTAGCCACTCCAATCCCTAAAAGTTTATATATATACACAATGTATTGTATTAATAACCATAATAAATCATTAAACATGAAAGATATCATGTCAGAAGACAACTTTTGGTAATAAATGGTATTTTTGTTGTAATCGATAAAAAGCCACAGAAGTCAACAATGAAGCTGCCTATTAAGTAATTTAATTAGTTTACTATCATAATATCACTAAAGATTATCATAAGTCCACTGCTGAACATATACCTACCAAATAAATTTCTAAAAAGTACGGTCCTGCGCCACCTGCATCCATGGACTGGACACACACCCAATACTGCGCTTGGAGTACGAGGCTGCAACTTAAGAACCTTTATTCTTCATTGGTTGTTAGTAAAATAGTAAGTTAATTAATTGGTTAGTTAAATTGTTTAAAGCATATTTACTTTCTTCTGTAGGACTGCAGCTTTGATGAAGATGCCACTCGGTTTGTACAACGAACTGAAAGCCACAGTCCCGCTTCTGGCCAACCAAAGCGAAGACTGTCTGTACCTCAACATCTTTGTGCCCGGTAGCGGTAAGAATTTATTCTTATATTTTACTTCCACATTCCATCAGCCCATTACAGCCGACAACTGGACATAATCGCTATTTTTGTAGATAATTGTTATTTTTTAATCTATTAAATTTTGACTTCGTTCGAAAACATATTGATATGTAGTTATTTAATTTAACTCGGTTTTAATTTAGATCCCTATGACGTATGGCCCTTTTCGTTCTATAGGTGAAATGAGAGCTACTGTGGAAAAGGCAGGAAAGATCTTATAAATGGCCTTTGATCATCTATCGGAGGTCATGAGATATTTCTAAAGTGGAATAAGTACCATCTTATTAGTTTCTCGGGTGAAATACCTCGACTGGTGACGAGTAAATTTTTTAAAGGTTCTAGTGCTGTAATCGCCAATCCCCTTGCCGAGTGTCATGGTTATACTACAATGGAAACCAGAAACTAGAAACTCCATCCTATAAAGGGGGATGCACATATTATCAAACAATGCTCCATTATGAACTGAGAAAGAAAGTTTGAGGTAGCTACGGAGGATGAATAATAGAAGAAGGCGTTACTTTACAACAATCCATAATAAAATACATATACATACATAAACACTTACGCCTGTCACCCAGAGGGGTAGGCAGAGACTACGGACTTCCATTTGGCGCGATCCTGACACACCTCTCTCGTCTCCTTTACATCCATATATCTACGCATACACGCTCGTCGGTTAAGGATACTCCTAATCTGGCCCATTTTTAATGTATCTTCGTCTAGGGCGTCCCTTCCTGACCCTGCCATTCACTTCTGCAACATAAATTTGCTTTGTCACTCTTTCCTCGTTCATTCTTTCTACATGACCAAACCACCGAAGCATTCTTTTCTTAATCCTTGTCACAACGTCATCTTGCAAACCACACTTTTCTCTTATCACACTATTTCTCACCCTGTCATTCCGATTCAGCCCTAGCATACTCCGTAATGACCGCATTCCTACAGCATTTATTCTAATCTCATGCTTCTTCTGCCAGACCCAACTTTCACTACCATACGTTAAAGTAGGGACTAACACAGCATTATGAATTGCCATACGTGCCTTATTTGACACATTCTGACTCCTCATAATAGCACAACAATCCAATATACAACATGCAACAATCCAATATATTGAAATTATTATATTTTAATTAGCTAAGATCAGCTTAATAAATTATGTCCGATTAGTTTGAAGACCACCTCCTGCCTTCGCTCAACTACTACACTATAAACTACACTACTACTACTAGTTACTATAAACTACATTAGAAAAGACACACTAATGTTGATAATGGATAGTTTCACCTGATGGTGCCTCGTTTAGAGACGAAACACGTGTCGTATTATCGATTATTTTTAACAACTTTAGAATCTGTTGTTAGCTACAAAGGTTGCAATTATTATTAATAATTTCTTCTTTCTGTTCAAATAGTGCCGTTCTCATTTCTTAAAAATGAGTTGATATGCCTTCGAATGGATTTTGAAGCCTTTGAAGCTGAAGTTTAAGCCTTCAACCGCGAGATGGTGGCAAACCGTAACTATATATATACGTAATAAATATTTCATGGATGCTGTGTGGGGCCGGAACTTAGGTGGCTTGCATATTTAAGATGAGCGCTTATCCCCTAAACTGCAACTGATCTACTAGATAATGTAAAATTTGGAACGTAACTAATAATTAATAGTAGCTGTTACTCTTTTTTCGCTGGACTGTAATATAGTATGTACACATATCGATGTAAACCCCATCGGAGTTCAATATCGTTATAAAAAGTCCCTTGTCCTAATTCCTGACAAAATCGAATTCTTTGTCAAATTTCATTTAGATCGTCCAAACGTTCAAACTATGGTTATGCCGAGTCGGCCATTATTTGGTATTCGAATACCTATTTTAGTAAGTATCCATTATAAAATAAAGATCAAAAATCAGTTACTGGGTTTTAGTAAACAAAATTTCAGTAGCAGCTTAGAGACCGAGAAGTACGTAAAATTGTTGTTCCTGGACCTGATCAACCGGTTATGTCGGATTACTGTCACATTGGACTAAGAGGATGAGGAAATAGAGAATGCACGTGTGCTTGCGCATACACTCGGGCACTATAATCCTGTCCTGCGCAGATGGCTGTTCTCGTTGAGATAGACTCGCTGTGACCGAAGTTCGGTCTAGAGGACGTTGTTGTATTGCGTTCGATGTAAATTGCTCCCATGATAATAAAAGAAAATAACCAATCAAGGGGGGAGAGGTTCTATATTAAGAGATCACCATTTTTGTGAGGGTATATTTTGGGTGACTGTATCGTTTCCGGTGTGCAGGCGCGCGCGGCGTGGAGGCGCCGTACGCGGTGGTGGTGTGGGCGGGCGCGGCGGCGCGCGGCTGGGGCTCGGGCAACGCGCTGGACGGCGCCGTGCTGGCTGCGCGCGCGCACCTGCTCGTCGTCACGCTCAACTATAGGCTAGGATTGTTAGGTTTGACTCCCGCTCGCTATATTCTTACCGAAGACTTCTACTAGACCTGCAATCCAGAACAAACACTTTGTCACAGCTGTGGAGCCACGCAAGATGGCAGTTGTATTTCCGTTTATGACAGTTACTGTATTTTGGTGTAATTAAGTTACATACTTATTCGAAATAAACTTCAAATAACTTTTTATTGTAGGATTTGGGTGACAAGCGAGCACACAGTCCATCTAATGGTAAGTAGTTGTTGTGGCCCATAGATACATCTATCCTCGATTACGAATTAAAATGCAGATGCGTTTGTTACACGAGGGGACTAAAATGGAATGCCTCGTTTCCAGTAAAAAGGGTCTCCGGTTCTCTACACTCACCATACGAAACACAGAAGTGTCAAGCTGCTATTTAACGCTGGTTTTCTGTGAGAGCGTGGTACTTCCCCTCCCCCGAACGAGCCGATCCTTTGGTGCTACAGCCATACCAGTAATATAGCTGCAGCATAGCTTTATCATGTCTAAATCGATGCTAGAACAAAGTGCGCACAGAAATAATGACAGTTTTTTTTCTTAGTCAGATTAAACGATATCTGTGTTATATTGTCGATGACTATTTTTGCGGTTTACAAAACAAATAATTTCTTTTCGCGGTCGCTCGCAGTGGGCTAAAGGAGTTGCGGGGAATTTACCGTAACTAAGTGCGCCATATATTAAGACCGCACATATCGTCTAATAGTTTACAATATAAATATATAAGTATATAACTTTACAACTTTGCATTTTTATGCAATGAAGAGACGAGGAGCGTTCAATTTAAATGATGGTAGATTATTATTGCATTGCAACAATCGTTCCAGGTGTAGGTGTTTGTCTTTGAATTAATGTTTTTGAAACTACGTAAAAAGAATTATACGGGTCAGTAAAGAAGACAATTGAATAACCTGTATGTATGTATTATTTTATGAAATGGAATTTATGATTCTCTATTCACTCCAATTCCGAATGTTTGAATAATTTGAAATTTTGTAGACGTATTAATATCTGATACAATTATTTCATTAAGTTAAATCAACTTATTACTGCATTATTATAGCTAATGATCAATGAGATTTCTATAAGTTTTTAGTCTAATATTTTATTATCAAGTTTTAGCTACCTCGTTATCTTATCTGCCACTATGTATGATTAGAATAAATTTTGCAATCGATTTTAAATGAGCTAAAGACTTGAAACTTTTAATAAACCTCAAAACAAGAACTTGGGTAAAAATCTTACCTTAAAAATTTTCGAACTTTTTTATATTTAGTAAACATCAAAAATTAGGGATCTTTTGAATTTAACCTTTTTTTATATGATGCAAGATATCTCCATTAATTGTGAACTGGTTTTAATGATTTTTTTTAAATTAAATAAGTTATACATACTTCATTCCCTTCAAGTGATCCCTTAAATTTAGAGAAAAAAAATCATTCCTAATGGTGGAAAATAGGCGATCAGTGTTTAATGTTACTATTTAGACAATATTCTATTTGTTACCTTGGATTTGTGATACTTGTTAGTACACTTAAGAGGATCAAAAAACATCCTACAGATGTATATGCTTTTCTCTTTTTAATGTCGTTTTTCGTTTAATTGAGTTTCAAAACACTACGATAAAGAAGTTTTCACTTCAATAATAATGTTATTTCCACTTTAGCTTCAGAAGTAGCTCTTTTACTGTACTTAGCACCGACTTTGGAAGCTACTATGTGGATATTATTTAATTCCTTGTAGTTGTTTAAAGTCGGCTCTCTCTTTGTATAATAAGGTTACTTAACGAGCGGGGGTGGGGACGAGGCCTCTTTGGCTGGCGGTGCAGCTGTGCTTGACGTGGCGGCCGCGCTGCGCTGGGTGCAGCGCAACGTGGCAGCGTTCGGCGGCGACCCGCGCCGCGTCACGCTGGCGGGGCACGCGCACGCCGCCGCGCTCGCCAACACGCTGCTCATGCTGCCCGCCGCCAAGGGTGCGTACTCATGTAATGGTGCTACAGCTTCGTTTCAAAAGCCTTGTATACGCTACGTGACAACCTACGTAAAGTAACAGCGCTCGGCGACGACACACGTACGCCGCCTCGCTCGGCTACGCTGCCAAGGGTGCGTACTGTCTAATATTGATACAGCTTCATTTTAAATGCGACATATACGCTACGTGAAAGCGTTCATGGGTGACTCGCGCCGTGTCACGCTCGCTGGATACGTGCATGCTGCCGCGCTCGCCAACGCGTTGCTCATGCCGCCCGCAAGCAACCCCGTGGCTTATTGTGGCGATCGTAATCTCTAAATTTAAAAAATATCTAAAATATATTTAATTTATTATTAATTAATTGCCGTGTAGTGGCGGTTAAGAATATCCACTACCCCATATCCTCCCGTGGGTGTCGTAAAAGGCGACAAAGGGAAACAGGCAGGAGATGGGCAGCAGCATCTTCGTGATAATAGCCAAAATTACAATAAAAAACTGCGGTTGCCAACCCGCTCGCCAAGCGTGGCAACTATGGCAAATACCCCCCAATGACTAAAGCAACAAACAGATGGCCCCCAGTCCCCGGCAGCCCCGCTATTCCTGGCTACGGTGGCGACCATGGTAACGGCAGGGCAGACGGTGCTAAGAATCTCCGGTGGAGGTTCGGTTGCCACCTTAGACGACTCGACCTGGCAACGTACAACGCACGCACCCTGAGGACTGACGAGAAGATCGTGGAGCTGGAAGAAGAGATAGACAAGTTGCGCTGGCACATTATAGGATTATCCGAAGTTCGAAGAGAGGGGGAGGACACGGTAATCCTCGAATCCGGCAACTTGCTCTATCACCGGGAGGGCGACCATCTGTTCCAAGGAGGTGTCGGATTTATCGTCCACAAGTCTCTCGTTAACAACGTTGTAAAGATCGGGAGTGTGTCGACGAGGGTTGCGTACCTTATACTCAGAATCACCAAACGGTATTCGCTGAAGGTCATACAGGTTTACGCACCAACCTCGGCACACCACGATGAGGAGGTGGAGGAAATGTATGAGGATATCTCTAGAGCCATGCATTCCTCCAAAACCCAATATAGGGTGTTAATGGGAGACTTCAATGCAAAACTAGGCACAAGAGAGAACGGTGAGCTGAAAGTAGGGAAATTTGGAATAGGGCAACGAAACCCAAGGGGCCAGCAGCTGGCCGACTTCATGGAAAAAGAGGGACTCTTTATGATGAACTCTTTCTTCAAGAAGCGGCCCCACAGGAAGTGGACCTGGTCGAGTCCCGAAGGTTCGACAAAAAATGAGATTGACTTCATTATGACGACCAGACGACAAATGTTCACTGATGTCTCCGTGATCGCGAGGGTGAAAACTGGTAGCGATCATCGAATGGTTAGAGGCACACTGAACCTAAACGTTAAGTTGGAGAGGTCTCGTCTAATGAAGTCAACGCTCCGTCCCCCTCATGCTCTAATCCAAAGTCCCGAAACCTTTCAGCTCGAGTTACAAAACCGTTTTCAGTGCCTAGAAGACTGCAATGAAGTGGACGATATGAATGACAAGCTCGTGTAAACTGTCCATGCGGTCGGAGCTAAGTTCTGCAAGACCCGCCGCAGAAGAACACAAAAACTCTCCGATCACACTCTTAATTTCATAGCTGTTAGACGGGAGATGAAGCTACATTCTTCAACAGACTTGACAGCATACAGGCATCTGAACAGACAGATCTCCAAATGCATGCGGCGGGACTTACGCAACTTCAATACAGCTCGTATTGAAGAAGCGATCGAGCGGAACCAAGGCTCCAATGTCTTTGCTAGATATCTGTGTGCCAGAAAGAGCCAACTGTCAAAGCTGAATACCGAATGTGGCAGCATCGTTTTCGGGACACCTGAGATTTTCAGTGAGATTGAGAGGTTCTATGGGTAGCCGTACACGTCATCGTTGGAGCCACACGCAAGTGTGAGTAACGATCCAAGAGCGAGTCTTATCCGACACTATTCCGAAGATATCACGGACGTCAGTCTGAGCGAGATTAGAATGGCTCTCCAGCACCTTAAAAACGGTAAGGCCCCAGGCGAGGATGGAATTACAGCGGAGCTTCTGAAAGCGGGTGGAAGACCGGTACTTGAAGTCCTTCAGAAGCTCTTTAATTCCGTCTTCCATGGTGGCATTACACCGAAGGCGTGGAGCAGAAGTGCGTTGGTCTTGTTCTTTAAGAAAGGTGACAACGCTCTCTTGAAGAACTACAGACCGATTTCCCTTCTGAGCCGCATCTACGTGCTGTTTTCGAGAGTCATTACGAATCGTCTCGCGCGCAGACTTGACGACTTCCAGCCTCCCGAACAAGCCGGTTACCGAAAGGGCTTTAGCACCATAGACCACATACATACCCTTCGGCAAGTTGTACAGAAGTCCGAAGAGTACAATTTGCCACTATGTCTGGCGTATGTGGACTATGAGAAAGCCTTTGATTCCGTCGAAATTTGGGCGGTGCTGCAGTCCCTTCAGCGGTGCCAAGTTGACTATCGGTATATCGAAGTGCTAAAGTGTTTATACAGTAGAGCTACGATGACTATCCGAGTACAGAACCAGAGTACGAATCGTATCCAATTGCAGAGAGGTGTAAGACAGGGTGATGTTATATCCCCGAAACTCTTCACCGCTGCATTGGAAGACGTTTTCAAGCTTCTGGACTGGAAAGGATACGGTATCAACATCAATGGCGAGTACATCACTCACCTTCGATTTGCCGACGATATAGTCCTTTTGGCAGAATCGCTGGAGGGCCTAAGCACTATGCTCAATGACCTCAATAGTGTTTCCCAACGGATAGGTCTTAAGATGAACATGGACAAAACAAAGATCATGTTTAGTGTCCATGTCACACCTATGCCGGTAGTTGTTGGGAGCACTAAGCTCGAAGTTGTTGACGAGTATGTTTACCTGGGATAAATAGTCCGACTAGGTAAGTCCAACTTCGACCGAGTGGTCAATCGACGGATTCAACTCGGCTGGGCAGCGTTCGGGAAGCTACGACACATCTTCTCGTCAGACATACCTCAAAACCTTAAAACGAAATTGTACAACCAGTGCGTGTTCCCAGTGATGACTTACGGAAATGAGACGTGGTCCTTCACTGCTGGCCGTATGAGGAAGCTCAAGGTCGCTCAGCGAGCTATGGAGAGGGCTATGCTCGGAGTTTCTCTGCGTGATAAACTTAGGAATGAGGATATCCGCAGTAGAACCAGAATAACCGACATAGCCCAACGGATTAGTAAGCTGAAGTGGTAGTGGGCCGGCTATTTAGCTCGAAGAACCGACAACCGATGGGGAAGAAAGGTTCTCGAGTGGCAGCCTCGTACCGGTAGGCGAAGTGTAGGGCGTCCCCCCACGAGATGGAGTGACAACCTGGTAAGACATGCAGGAAGTCGATGGATGCAGGTGGCTTAGGACCGTGCTTTGTGGCATTATTTGGGGGAGGCCTATGTTCAGTAGTGGACTTGTGAAGGGCTGTAATGATGATGATGATGATGATATTTAATAGTTGACTTGAACAGTTTTGCTTTAGCAAGCGTCATTTTTTTAATTTTTTATAAATTACATGTAATTCTTATTGAAAGTCATTTTTTGATTTTTCCACTGGTTTGTAAAAAAAAACTTTTTTCCTGAGGAAAGCAAGAACTCACAACAGCGAGACTTTTTTAATGTAAATTATGCAATATAAAAAGTTGTACTATAAACTATTTACAAAATTTATTTTAGAAACAGCTCGGGACCATCTCATTCCCAGGGGCTAATATCAACCATTTAGTCATTTATTTATATTGTAATAACTCTTTTTATACTGTTTTTTTGTTTAATTAAACTTCTTAATAGAGAGAACTTGTGTATTTTCTAGGACTTTCTTGTACTAAACTCAACTACCCTAATTACCCTATTTTAGCATATTTGATGGTATTCATAGGTCTGATGTCTCGCGTTTTGCTACTAAGCGGGTCAGCGTTGAGCTCAGATTCGTTAGCTCCAGACCCAACTTTAACCAGGGAACACGTGGCGCAAGCATTACGATGTACTCGAGACACCGGCTCTGTAGAGGAACACTGGTAACTTTTATTTTTAGTAGTCTATTACTACTAATTTTTTAAATTTAATTTATACTTTATTTACATGATTTTTGTCACGTGGTGAATCTTTAACTTACTTTAGATTTATTTCTGTGATAAGGATGTACACCTGATCTTGTTTCACAATATTTATTTTAAATCATTAGTTTACTAACTAAAATAAACGATCGGTTTTGCATCACGGCATTATAATATATACCCTACAAGGAATATATGTTCGTTGTTCTGTATCTCTGATGATGCCGTGCGGCAAAACTGGTCGGATTTTTAGTCAATAACATCGTGTAACTTGTACAAGTATGTATCCAAATAACAAAAATAATTTTTAACATTCTTTAAATTAGCTTGAGCTGTCTTGATGTATACATAAATGTGAAATTGTGGTTTCTAATAATTACACAGTTGCATAACTATGACCAAAAAGTACTGCGGTCCTCATTTAAAACAATACTATACGGATCAGTGCTACCTACGTAGTTTATTTTATTATAAATATCATGAACCATAATTACCATGCATTCTTTTTAAAACAAATAAATGTAATTTCACTGTTGAATTTCTTAGGTTAGTATCCTGCATACGTGCTCGCCCCCTTGCAGCCCTATTAGCAGTGGAAGCTCCCCGTGCGAGGTTTCTTGCCGGGTGGGCGCCATCAGTGCCTGCATCAGAAGACCCTTCACAACCACAAACTCCAACCAGAGCACTGCACGCCAGTGAGGCGTTCCTCGAGTGTGCTCTAGCAGTTGTAGTTTCAACGACAGAAAGCTATCAGTTTTTTAGTGAGGACGATATACGGCATGGCTTCGAAGAAGAACATAGGTGAATTAATATCAAATAATCAGTAAACTTATTTTTCGGCGGTTTTATTAAAAAATGTTTTAGCCGAATTCAAAAAAGGAGGTTCACAATTCGATTGTATGTTTTTTATGTATGTTACGTGACCACTTCGTCAATTGAGAACCGATTTTGAAGATTCTTTATTATTTACTGGTTTTTATTTCAGGAGAAGTCCCCATAAATATTTAGTTTTCTTACGTGGTAGAGCCATGCTACAGCTATATTAATAGTATAGTTGTAGCACAAAAGGGTCGGCTCGACCGGGGAAGGACCACGCTCTCACAGAATACCAGCGTAAAATAGCAGCTTAACGCTGCTGTGTTTCGTATGGAGAGTGTAGAGAACCGGAGACCCTTTTTACTGGAAAAGAGGCATTCTATCTTCGTCCTCACGGTTGACAAGGCATCTGCATTTTAATTCGCAAACGAAGATAGATGCAGATGTCTATGGGCCACAGCAACCACTTACCATCAGGTGGACTGTGTGCTCGTTTGTCACCTTAATTCTATAAAAAGAAAAGGGAAAAAAATTTACCGTCAAGAATGGCAATAATAAGTTCTAGTACTTTGAAGTCGGATTTAACTTCCTGTTAAAAGTTATAATTATTAAGTGATGCTAATTATTAAGTGATAATTATATTTACAGGAATCGAATCCTTCGTACGTATGTGCGAAATGTATATAGATATCATCGCAATGAAATATTCGCGGCGATTCGCAACGAATATACTGACTGGGAGAAACCAATTCAACATCCAATAAATATTCGTGATTCCACTTTAGAATCTCTTAGTGATGCTGCGGTAGCTGCACCGGCTTTACGTGTGGCACAACTACATGCTAAACGAGGAGCTAAGACTTTCTTTGCTCACTTTGCACATCAAAGCAGGGACGCAGACTACCCTCAGGTAGAGTAAATCAATAATTTGATTTTTTTGTTCAATTTCTAAAACTTTGTAAATTTTAATATTTTATTATTATTTCATCAGCGTTTAGGAAGTGTTTCGAGTGAGACTTTGCCCTACTTTTTGGGCTTACCTCTTGTTGGTGGCATGCCTTTCGCACCACGAAATTACTCACGGAATGACGTAGCTGTTGCCGAAGCTACGGTAGCGTTGCTTGCAGCGTTCGCAAAAACTGGAGAACCCACTCCTATACAAGACGAACATCATCGGGATAATTTTGTCGCGTGGCCACGATACGAAATGAATACACAACAATATTTAAGTATAGGTAAGTTTGTGCGTAAATGATTTTGTTTTGCTAGCAAAATTACTTTTCCGTGTCCCTAAAATATATAAACGCGAAATGATGAAAATAAATTGTAACAAGTGAAAATATTAAAAGTTATATATTTAAAAAAATTATATACCACGTTTTTATCATAATCTAACATTATTGTCATATGTCTGTACATTATTGTATTCATTGGGAAGTTAGTTTAAAATCAATTAAATTAACTGTAACAGTAATAACACGAAAGTGGTAGAATGGTCCTCTAAAGAAAATTCCAAACGAATCTTTAACTTCACATTTATATTAAGGTAACCGCATCTTGTAACTAAGTCAAAATTCAATTATCTACGTGAAACACTTGGACAAATTTACCCCATTTGAGTCAGACAGACCAACACTAAGGTGATTACTTAAGTGTTTCGTTTTACTGAATTTGGAACAGTGTTTTTCTAAATCTGTGTAAATATAATTTGCTTGTAATAAACTTAATCAATAGAATCAGGCGTTCCTTTGCGATAATTAATGAAATTAAAGATATTAAAAATAAATTAGCTAAGTTCCCCGTAATAAAATAAAATGATGAATCTTACCTAGTTATAAAAGCAGCTCCGCCCTCTCTCAATTGCGCGCACTATCCTCGTCACCACCAATCCCAGCGCTACTACTCCCTAGGTGCTCTTCAAATTAGGTAAAACACATCTTTCTTCTTTCTTTCTTTCATTTTATTTTATTGCGCGGATATTAGCTAATTTATTTTAACGTCTTTAATACGATTTACTAAGTTTATAGTTGTGATACAGTGTTTATATTAATTGACAGGAACTAAATTAAGAGTGAAGAGTCATTATCGGGGTCACAAAATGGCCTTATGGCTGCACCTAATACCTCAACTCCATCGACCAGGAGCTGCGCCAAGGCATCACCAGTTTCGCTCCGCTCACCCAGATATGTTTGCTGGTAATTATTATCGGACGTTATTAAAATTTATGTTAAAGTTAAGTTAAAGTTACAGCCTATATAAGTCCCACTGCTGGGCACAGGCCTTCTCTCATAACTGAGAGGGTTTTAGTGCAAGGGAGTGTTAGCCACGCTGCCGAAATGCGTGTTGGCAAACTTCACATGTCTTCCAAATTTTGTTTTCTTATTTCTCAAACTTGCCGGTTTTTTAAAGATGTTTTCCTTCACCGCCGAGCACGTGGTAAATCAGCACTTAAAATTGCAATTAACTATTTCATTGGTGCCGGCGGAGATTGAACTCGGGTTGCTCGCGTACTAAGAAATTTACAGCGAGCTAACCATCTGAGCTACCACGGCATTTATGTATTAGGAAGTAACATTTTTTTATACCTAGTCAGGTCATAAATTCTGTCACATGTTTAATATAAAATAATTGAAACAAGTTTATTCATTATGTAACCATTTATATACCAAAATGAACTTAACAAAACATATATTCTTATCACAAAGTTAAGCTAAAGTTCATTCAAAATGACCTCCGTAATTTTGAATACAGGCCTTCAATCTTCGCGGCCAGTCGTCTATCGCAGCACGAACGAGGTCCATGACAATATCGGCGGCTGCCTTAATCAAGGATGTCTTGAGTGACTCCAAATTGGGATGAGGCTTTGAGCACGCCTTTTCCTCCAAGTGTTGCCGTATCTTGTAATCTAACGGATTCAAATCTGGACTGGAGGAGGGCCAGTCTTCGTGTCGGATGAAGTCGATTTCACGCGCCGCCAGCCAGTCTTGTGTGCTCTTCGCTCTATGAGCTGGCGCTGAATCTTGTTGGAATACCCAGTGCCTGTTATTGAACATGGTATGAGAAACAGGTTTCACAAGGTTCGTCAGGACTGTATTTTGATACACAACTGCATTCGTTTTTACACCTTTCTCACATAAATGTACCTCTGTTATGCCCCAATAAGAAACTCCCAACCATACCATGAGCGAGGATGGAAAATGACCTCGTTGGACACGCGGAATACGGTTGCTCGCTTCTTCACTACTGTGTGCGTACACAAAAAATAATTTCCCGATATTTTTTTCCCGCGTACCGCTTCAACAAAGCGCGGCATCTCTTCAGTCTCAGGTTCATTAGACGAGCATTCAAACGATGTCCTGTTTTTCTTCGATATGCCCGAAACCGTAAGTCTTCATTTAACATCCTTTTCACCGTGGTTCTGCTTAACCCCATCTGAAGGGCCAACAGTTTCTGCTTACGTTTGGGATTTCTTTGAATTCGCGCCTTCACAGCTTATATCACTGCTGGAGTCCTAACAGACCGAGGGCGACCACTTCTTCACTTCTCACATAGTTCGTAATCATTTATATTGTAAAATTTATTTAAAAAAAAAGTCCCGCTGGGTTTCTTGGTGGTTCTTCCCAGGACAGAGGGTTTTTTCGAACCAGTGGTAAAGTAAAAAATTACTTTCAATAAGAATTACACATGTAATGTATATTGAATAAAAAAATATTCTATTCTATTCTTGACCTGTCATCTACACTAGAGTCTTCATTGTATCGTTTGATGGTACGATAAACGAATCTTTTGGTTATATTCAAATTTTTCAGTATGTCAAAAATTTGAATTGGCGCGTAACCGCAACGATGCAACGCAATAACTGCAACACGGTCTTCTTTAAGCGTCCACTCCATATTTAAAAATGAGTAAAATTCTAAAAAGTATACAGTTTTATTTTCATGAACAATTCGAAATTCGAATTCAATAAACTTTTTTGTGGCCAGCATTCTAAAAGAAAAGTTTTTACTGTGTGACAATACTTATGACCTGACTAGGTAGAATAAGTGTATTTTTACGGCCTTTAAGTAATTGTTCTGTGTCTGAATTTTTTTCCTTGTACAATTTATTTATGTAAACAGGCCTCCACGATACAGGAGAAAATTCTGGTATTTTTTTTAAATAAGAAATATAGAATCGACTAAGAATGATAAACAAATACATAGTTAACCTGATGGTAGGTAGATGCGCTGTCGCCCCTGAGGACTAAGATGGAATGTCTCGTATCTGTAAAATGGTCTCCGGTTCTCTACACCTACCACACGAATCACAGCATCACTAAGCAGCAAATTTTACGCTGGTTTCATGTGTAACGTCCATATCAATCACACCTATGCCGATAGTTGTTGGGTGCACTCAGATCTAAATTGTTGTCAAGTATATTTACCTCGGCCAAGTAGTCCGACTAGGTAAGTCCAACTTTGACCGAGAGGTCTATAGACGGATTCAACTCGGCTGGGCAGCATTCAGGAAATTACGATGCATCTTCTCATCAGGTATACCTCAAAACTTGGAAACGAGATTGTGCAGATAGTACGTGTTATATATAACATTGGAAATTTTTCATCCTCTCTTTTTTTCATCAGCTCTTAAAAGTTCTGCTGGACACGAATCTCTTCTTTTTAAGGGGATGTTCTTAGTCTCAGTTTGTTTCATTTAATTAATTAAGTATTTTTCAAAACTCCATATCTATACAGATAAATAAAATTAAACTGTCTGTTTTTGTAATATCAAAATTACAGATTTTTACTAAATGCATTTTTTTAAAAGATAAGGGTGACAAACGAGCACACAGTCCACCTGATGGTAAGTTAATGCTGTGGCCCATAGACATCTACATCTATCCTCGAATACGAATCAAAATGCAGATGTGTTGTCACCCGTGAGGACTAAGATGAAATGCTTCGTTTCCAGTAAAAAGGGTCTCCGGTTCTCTACACTCACCATACGAAACACAGCAGCGTTAAGCTGCTATTTTACGCTGGTATTCTGTGAGAGCGTGGTCCTTCCCCGGTCGAGCCGACTCATTCGTGCTACAACCATAATGTAGCTGCAGCATGGCTCTACTACGTATAAAATATGAATAAAATATGAAAGTACGAGTATATACCGTACTTATAATAAAATACAATTTTTAATATTTTGGTCTGTCCGTCTGTTTGTTCCGGCTAATCTCCGAAACGGCTGGACTGATTTCGACGGAACTTTCACTGACAGATATCTGATGTCATAAGGAGTAACTTAGGCTACTTTTATTTTAGAAAAAACTAAAACCCCCAATAACACGCAAGCGAAATCGCGGGGAACAGCTAGTAGTATATATTTTTGCTTCTAAATTTATTTATTTTTACATGTACACTATCGTAATTCTTTTTCAAGTGTATTTTCATTTGCATAGTTTAATTTTTTTCGCAAAATATAATATATTATTGATATAGTCCCAGTGTTATGTGTTAAACAAGTTTTGATACTCAGTTTGTTTTGCAGTCATCAATATCACTCTCAACGTCTAAATTATAAATTTAAGTTGTGGTAAATTATGCTGGTGTTGTAATTAATACTACTTATTATCTAAAATTCTTAGCAACTTTGTATTCAACATTGTTTTTTACCCAAATAAAGCAAAAAAAGTCTTAATAATTTTGGATTGGATTGGCGATCGAGAAGTCTTGCGCCTTTGACACTGAACCCCGTTGAGCCACGTTGAAATTTTGTCCAGGTGAAATATTCCCGGAGATGTACAGCACTGCGGGCGCGTTGGACGAGGAGGAGGAGAGCGCGGAGGCGGAGGAGGTGTCGGCGGCGGAGTGCGAGCCGTCGCCGTCCGCGCGCCCCGCGCTCGCCGCGCCGCCCGCGTCGCCCGCGCCGCCCAGCGACGCGCCCTTCAACGTCGACTCGCAATACTACAGGTAAATCAGAGCTGGACTACTACTCCAACCTAATGCTAAGTGGAATTATAGTTCCTTTAACTTGTCAGAAATTAAATTTTTTTGTGCCCTATAACTTGGAAAGTCCGAATTCTTGGTCTCACTTTTCCAATCGTAAAAAATTACGCGCGACTACGCCCGCGCGTTTTTTCTTACAATTGGATTTCATGGATTTTAATTTTTCTTGTGCGAAACCCCAATTATTTTTCTAAAATAAAAGTAACCTAAGTTACTCCTTATAACATCAGCTATCTGCCAGTGAAAGTCCGGTCAAAATCGGTCCAGCCGTTTCGGAGATTAGCCAGTATAAACAGACAGAACGACAGACAGACAAACAATTTAAAAATCGTGTTTTTGTTATAGGTAATATAGGTAACGTATATACTTTGATATGCATACAGTAAAAAGCTGTTATTTTGACATTACAAACAAACACTTGAATTTTAGTTATTTGTATAGAATACAGCCTATCAATGGTCCACTACTGAATGTAAGTTTTCACCATAAACCCCATCTTAGGCGAGATATTTGCCATGGTTGCCACTCTTAACAGCCGCAGTTTTTTTTTATAATTTTGAATTGTCATCAAGAAGATACTGCTAGTCATCCTCATAGCCCATGATGAACGACATATTATGATAGTGGATTCTGTTACATTGCGTAAGTTTTGCCAATTTCTTATAATTAATTATTAAAACAATTTTGTACTATGTAAGAAAAAAGACAGCATGTGTGGTACGCCTTACAAAGTTATACTTGCTACGTTTCTGCAAATTTTTCTTCGTGTTTCTTTTTAATTCACGTAATTTACATAACTAATACCAATTTATTAAAACTTTGTGTACAAATGTGTGTGAATGTGAGTTCGTGTTTAATTCAATTTCGTTACGAACGAGAACATGCAGCTGTAGCCTACGGCAATCCTTATGTTTTTAAATTGAATCAAAAACTTTTTACTCAACCAACAATTTTTGAGTACAGATAAATGACAGCATTCCTCCCTCGTTTGCCCTCCCATAAACAAGATTGATCTGGGTGCTTTACCAGACGTAATCTTACTAATGTGTTTACCCACTCGGTTACCTTTCTGAATTTTATCTATTTTTGTCTCGGGACGTCTTAATGTGCGTCCATTTTTCGTGAAACCGTTTCCCCAAGATGAAGCCACTCTGATATCGGTAATGAAAGTCGCCAAACTTTTAAATTAAATTGTTCTGTAGATAGGAATAATAGACTTGAAACTGAAGATCTTAAGTTTAAGTAACGTTGGTTTTCTTTCAGTAGACAATAAATCGTTGCGCTTTTTATTTATGAACGGTGTATAAGTTGCACAAAAAGTAAGCTAAACAGTCAGTTGGTTATGTTTCTGTATCGTGTAGTGGCGGTGTAAGGATATCCACTGCCACATAATATTATCCCGACAGAAGAACACTGAACAAGGATAACATGGACAGCATAACCGTCCTGATAACAGCTGAATAAAAAAAAACTGTGGTTGCCAACCCACTAGCTAAGTGTGACAACTATAGCAAGTATCCCTTATCAGACAATCTATGGAGGAGTTATATGTTCAGCAATGGGCTTCTGATAGGCTGTAATGGATGTTTCTAAAGGAGTCCGCGACTGGCTGTCACCGTTGGTAGTAGGTTGTGTTCTCCCTCAAAGATTAACTACATTCTGAAAATATGATACAAAAACGAATTAAGTAAATTGATGTTTTCTTTATTTTATTAATTTTAATTTAGTAGGTGTTTTTTTTTTAAATATTTGTATCTTTGTAAATCACCGTTATTTCATATCAGTTTTATGTACGGAGCGATGTTTGCTGCTATTCAACTGCGCCCGCACTCATCTTAAGAAATATTTTAGCTACATGCGAGATTCATAAAACGAAAAAAATATTGAATAAAACACGTGTATAGTTCACACACGGTGTAAATTGAAACCAGATAAAGACACCGACATAGCAGGAAACACTGTATACTGTATTCTATCTCATTCTCTCGCAGCCTAAGCCCTATAGATGTGTAATGATTGTCTCTTTTTAGTGTCGCTTTTTAGGGTTCCGTAATCAATTTAATTTAATAAAAAGGCGATTTTTCTGGATCGATACGATTTTAGGACCTTCAAGAAAAGAGCTAACACCTTTCTGAAAGGCCGGCAACGCATCTGCAATTCCCCTGGTGTTGCGGTTGTTCATGGGCGGCGGTAGTCACTTACCAGCAGATGAGGCGCATGCTCGTTTGCCCCCTCTTCTATAAAAAAATAAAATGTTAACCAACGGTACCATATTACTAAGCCTCCACTGTTCGTCTGTCTGTCTGTCACCGGGCTGTATTTCATGATCCGTAAAAGGTAGACAGTTGAAATTTTGGCAGAATGTGTATTTCTGTTGCCGCTATAACAAAAGTAATAAAAATAAATTACAAATTAAAGAGGACTCCCCTACTATAAACTTCTTTTACGATGGTACGGAACCCTTCATGCGCGAGTCAGACTCGCACTTGGCCGGCTTTTTCGTTACATCGAGTTTCAAATCACAATTATTCTTAAGAATGTTTCACTTCAATAGAGAAAATTTTACTGCTTTAATGAACGAAATAAAAACTCTAGACTTAAATAATAAAATGATCTGCACTGACATCTAAATCTGAAATCATTTTATTGTTTATAGTTGTTTGAAGTCAGCATTTACTTTATTATTTAAAAAAACGACGGGATGCACTCCGGGAGTGCCGGCAGAAGTCAAACTTGAATATTAACGTTGTGCATTTTTGATATTTTGGAATGGCGGAGATTATTTATTATTATCTTATTTCATTTATTTTCATTCGAAATTATTTGTTTGGTAAACCTACACCGCACATGTGCTTATTGTGATGTTATGAAATATAGGTTAATGCTATAAAGTATAAAGATATTACAAATATTACATCTATAATGTAATATTTGTAATATCTTTATTATATTTTAAATATATATATATATATATATATATATATATATATATATATATATATATATATATATATAATATTATATATAAATATATATAATATTTGTAATTTTTAAATATAGATACATATGTATCTATATTAATAATTTCGTCAAGCAGTACAGTAGACTCGATCGAAGCCTAATCTTAATAATAAAATTATATTAATTAATAAATAAAAATGAATTAAACCTAACCTAAGCTGAATAATACTACATATACTACGCCGCGCCGGCTGTCTACTCTCCGTCCGTCTTAAGAATTTTCGATCAGGACACGTGACCTGACGCGAGTTTAACATTTTTTACCCATTACAAAAAAGTGCACAACACCGCTAAAGAAGTTTTCACTTCAAAAATTAACCCTTTTGATTGGACTATGAAAGATCACGATCTCAATATCGTTTAAATAGTTCCATTGAAACTTAACCTCTGTTTTTCTATCCTTAGGGTGGAATTTTTTCTCCAACCCTACACAATGTCCGCAATTGACCAAGACATCGCGTAGCATACATACGAAAAAAGAACATACACTCGAACTTAATCTGACCATTAGTTTAAAGTCAGATTAAATCAACATATCAATTTTCTTTGTTTTCTATCAGCTATACAGTAGCGCTGGGTGTCACCGTGGGAGCTGGTTGCTTCCTTCTCGCTTTGAATGTCTTAGTCTTCGCCGGAATTTACTTGCAGAGGGGACGGCGTAGAGCTTCACATCGTCGCCCTAGAAGAGAAGGTTTGATTTTTAATGATGAACAGACCTTACCTGTAGTTTTCGTCTTTTAAAATATTTTTTTTTTAGAATAAACACGACAATCTAGCATACCAGTCCACCTGATGGCTAGTGGATGCAGTGATCTATAGACATCTATCCTCTATTAGGAATCGTAATTCAGATGCGTTGTCATCCCCGAGGAATAAGAGAGAATGCTTCGTCCCCAGTAAAACGGGTCTTCGGTTTTCCACAATCATCATACGAGACACAGCTTCATTGAGCTGTTACTCCTTAATTTATTTTGTAGGAAACTAAAAAAGTGTCTATTTTGTGTCTGTGCTTTTGTTTAGTTTTAACTAGACTCAAGTAAAATAAGTCTCGAAACACACATTTCCATCGAGTCCAAAGATGCTAGATAGCGTTCTTAGAACCTAAGAAATTCGTAACTTGCGTGAAAACTCCGCAGGTAGCTGCAGCAGTCGAAATGGGACGGGGTCATTAAACAGTGATCCTCTTCCTCTAACTTCACCACGCAAGAGCACTCTCAAGGTAAACGTATCCGATATTTGACTTTAGTTCAATGGTAAATAAAAAAAAAATTAATCATTTTCGGTCCAACCGTTTAGAAGTGCAGTGAGTACAGGAGTACAGAAGAATTATTATGTATATGTTGCAGCGAACTAGTTTAATTAGCTTTTTAGTTAACTGTCTAGTCTATATATACGAAATGGCACCGTTCAACTAGCAGCCTGTATATAATTGACAAGCTTGACGTGTGGTGACGGCTTTAAGCCGTATATGTAATGACATTTCGCCCCAGTATATTTTTTATAGAGTAAAGGTAATAATAACGAGCACACAGTCAACCTGGTAAGTGGATGATGTGGCCCATAGACACATAAATTTATCCTCAAAAAGAATCAACATGCAGATGCGTTGTCACCCCTGAGGACTAAGACGGAAAGTTTCATATCCAGTAAAAAGGTTCTCCAGTTTTCTAAACTCGCCATACGAAATATAACAGCATTACGCTGCTATCTTACGCTGGTATTTTTTTCTTTCTTTTTTTATAGGAACAAACGAGCATACGGCTCACCTGATGATAATTGACTACCGCCGTCTATAAACAGTTGCAACACCAGGGCAATTTCAGGTGCGTTGCCAGCCCTTTAGGAGTAATGAAGTAAGCTGTTTTCTTGAAGGTCTCTAAGTCGTATCGGTCTGGAAAAATCGCCGGTGGTAAACTATTCCAAGGTCGTAAAAGTAAGAAAACTCCTAGTGAAACATACAGTGTTGGACCGCCAAGTGTGCAGATGGTATGGATGGTTTCAGGAGTTTTGATGCGATGTGTGTTCTTGAAATTTGGTGGCTGAGATTAATCCGAACAATTCTTCAGAGCAGTCCCCGTGGTAGATGCGAAAGAAAATGCAAAGGGATGCAACATCTTTTCGCAGCGCCAGTGAAGCATTGGCACGGCCGGTGTATAGAGCATTACCTGTACTATCACCCGCATAGGAATGAATGTTAGCAGTTTGACACATATCATCGATATGCAGAATAAACTGCGTTGGTGATAGCACGCAGACTTATGGAACACACATTATCATTAATAGGCTTATAATTGAAGCGTTCACTGTCTACTACAACATTGATGTTCCAATCTGCAAGAAAGCTGGTGATCCAACTGCACAATTTCTCGGGATACCCATAGGAAGGGAGCTTCGAAGTGCTTTGTGACAAACCCGATCGAAGGCCTAAACTAACAGCCAATGCCTCCCCCTTGGACTCTACCGCCTCTTCCATCTATGACTCAGGTATACCAAAAGATCACCAGCTGGTCAACTTCGAAGAAAACCGTATTGGTGGTCCACTAATCATCTGGCAATCCTGGCAGTTTATAATGGATTCAAAATATTCTGAGCGAGCGTGATCCTTCCCCGATTGAGCCGACCTCATTCGTACTGCAGCCATAACTCCGGAGGTCCTGCGCCGGATTTCTCTCCGGTTGTGTAGGATTTACGTCCTAACGGAATATGAGAGTGGAGGATCTGTGAGTGCTTGCGCAAACTCATGTGCATTATAATACTTTCCAGCGTCTCTTTTGAAACTGGTCGCCGTGACCAAAATTCTGTCTAGAATAAGTTATTATTATTAATGTTTCACCTCTAAATAGAATTACCATCTCTTAACCTAATTTAACACAACCATCGATTTCCACAGCGCAGCAGCGAGTCGGAATTAAAAGAGAGGCCGGGCAACGCCGCGGCGCCTCCCAAAAAACGCGTCCAAATCCAAGAGATCTCAGTGTAGAAAACTTTTGAACGAACTGTACGTGCTATATAATCAAGTATGATTATGATATTAATAATAAAAGAACATACAAAGTGATGATTTTGCGATGTTTCCAGTTTTGTGCTATGTACAACGTTTTGTGTCTTGTGCAGTTGGAAGCTAGTTTAAAATCGTTTACAAAATTGGTACCAAACATATAGACAGAGAAGAAAAAGAGTTAAAATGCGTGGTAATAACAATAAAGTGAATATAACTGTGAGAAGTGGTCTATAGTCATTAATGGTCACTAATCTCTATAACCAGATGTGATGTTTTAAATACACAACGTATACAATTATCAAATGTAACGAGTGATTTCGTAGTTTTCTTCTTTTAGTGGACTCCTCTATTTGATCGTATGTTTATATTGATTTTATATCGAATTTAAAATATTTTAACCAAATAAATTAACAGTACGTTTTCACTTTATGGACTTGTAATATTTAAATTCTCCACTTTTGATCACAATTTTCACATTTAAAATTTAAACGTAGACCAATTTTTAATAAATGTGTTAAACAAACATGATTTATATCATTAAAACACAATAGAGAACAGTTTAAAAATATTTTTAAAAATAAATTTGCTAAGATCCGCGTAAGAAAAATTTATATTAAAACACAACACAAACACTCACGCCTGTGACCCAGAAGGGTAGGCAGTGACTACGGACTTCCATTTCGCACGATCCTTCACACCTCTGTCGCCTCCTTTACATCCATATATCTACGCATACACGCTCGTCGGTTAAGAGTACTCCTATTATTTATAATTTTATTAATTAAAATTGATTAAAATAAATAATAATATTTTACTACGCGGATCTAAGCTCATTATTGTTTAAAATAATATTATGAATTTCTCAAAGTTCAAATTAACTGATTCTATTAATTAACTTATTGATGGTTCTGTAGCGCAGTGGCTTAGCATTAAATTGCGGTGATGTGGGGCGAGGGTTTAAATCTTACACGGAATATTAGAATTGTTTATATGGCATGCAAATAATTGTTCCGGGTCTGGATATTTATCCTAGTGCAATTTATGTATGTAAACTGCCTCCACGATACAGGAGAAAATCCTAGCGTAACTTTTTTTTCAGGACAAAATATTCGACTATTAAGAAAACAATATGTTCCAGAAATACGTTTCAACATATATACTCGTAACATTTCGATAGACATAACAGTTAACTTACTTTACCTATGTGCCTCGGGTAGTGACGGGTGGACTGGCTTCATTCGCTCCAATGAACATTCTTGCATCGATAGTCAATGCACGTGTTACGCTGATGTAGGTTATAATATGTTGTAATCTCTCAAATAGTGACTTAATCCTTTATATTTTCTACCTTTATTGGATAAGGTCTTAGAATTAACTTCGGTTTGTTTCTTATTATGTGTAATTTTAATGTATTTTTACTTATTATATAGATTGAAACATGATTGTACTGATTTGCTATTGTTTTTACAACATTAATAAGCACATCAGAATAAATAAAATAACTATAACTATGCTATAAATTTGTATATTTTATTTTTAAAGAATAAGGGTGACAAACGAGCACACAGTCATACACAAACATCTAGTCTCGATGAGGAATCAAAACGCAGATGCGTTGTCACCCCTGAATACTAAGATGGAATACCTTGTTCTCAGTAAAAAGGTTCTCTGTTTCTCCACAGTCACCCTACGAAATATAGCAGCATTAAACTGCTACTTTACTTTGTATGTTGTAAGAACATAGTCCTTGCTCGATCGAGCCAACCCATATCTTGCGATAACCGTAATGCTACTGTAACTACTACTATAACTCTACCACGTAAAATGGGTTGTCGCATCTGAAGAATATGATAGAAATGACTCAGTCTTTAATTTTTCTACATATACCCTTCATAATAGAACACACACTGCATTATTTCAAAAATATTTAAAAAGCTGCATTTGTAAAATTATACAATTATAATAGTAATTCAGTAATATACAAAAAAAAACTATGTGTAAACTTTATTATTTAAAGAAGTTCTTAATTATGAGTTTTATAAAATATTTATATTTTAAATTTATATCAAGCGTTGTAGAATCGTTTACTTTATATGTATGTATGGAAGTGTTTAGTGTCTTGTAAAATTCAGTTTTGTAAAAAATCACATAACTCTGTACAGTATTAACAATTTAAGATGTAACATTGTACATATTAGAAGACGTCGTCGTGAATATCTATACTCAGTCGATGTCACTCTCATCGGTGAAACAAGGTTTTAATAAAGACCATTTTTCCTGAACTTATTGTTTATTTTTATAGTTAAAATTCAATATGTTTAACGTTGTTTTGCCCTCTACATATTTCTCTTAAATCACAGCTAGCAAGCACACAAGCAATAACGAGACAAAGCCACGTAGAGACGAACGAAGCGGCACCGTGCCAGGACTATTAATATCTATAATATGTTATTGATGATTGTTTGATCTTGTTCGTATACGTGACTGCTGATCATTAGGTACCGAGTTCGTATCTCGGGTCGGACCAACAAAATCTAGTGTCGAGTTTTTCTGTCAAGAAATTCTCAGAAGCAACTCGAACAGGAAGTTGGCGATGTTTCAACCCCTTACCTCGGAAAGCATGTAAAACTTTTCGTCCTGCGCCTGATCTCTCTGCTGTGTCGGACAATGAGAGTGAGAGAATAGAGCGAGCACCTTTGCGCATAGTACATAGTCTCCGTTGAGACTGGCAGCCGTGACCAAAATTCGGTCCGGAGGACATTATATTGCTTTTTATAAATCTTTAGTGATAAACAAACTTACAGTCAACCTGGCGGTAAGTGAATATTGCAATGCATGGACACTAGTAGCCATTTTTTTATAGGATAGGGTGACAAACGAGCCCACAATCCACCTGAAGGTTAGTGGTTACTGTGACCCATAGATATGTCTATGGGTCATTTATCCTCAATAAAGAATAAAAAGGCAGATGCGTCATCACCCGTAAGGACTAAGATGGAATGCCTCTTTACCAATAAAATGGATCTCTGGTTTTCTACACTCACCATACGAAACACATCAGTATCAAGCTGCCATTTTACGCTGGTATTCTGTGAGAGCTTGGTCCTTCCACGGGCGAACCGACCCATTTGTGCTACAACTATACTACTAATATAGCTGCAGTATTATTATTAACTTCAAACAAAGAGGACCAAGAAATAATAAATTATAGCCTAAGAGAGCCAGTATATAATTTTAAAACACAGCAGTGTTACCATTGCTATTTAAAAACAAAACACAGTAGTGTTACCATTGCTATTTAGTAACAAAACACAGCAGTGTTACCATTGCTATTTAAAAACAAAACACAGTAGTGTTACCATTGCTATTTAGTAACAAAACACAGCAGTGCTACCATTGCTATTTAGTAACAAAACACAGCAGTGTTACCATTGCTATTTAGTAACAAATCACAGCAGTGTTATCATTGCTATTTAGTAACAAAACACAGCATTGTTACCATTGCTATTTAGTAACAAAACACAGCAGTGTTACCACTGCTAGTTAGTAACAAAACACAGCAGTATTACCATTGCTATTTAGTAACAAAACACAGCAGTGTTACCATTGCTACATAGTAACAAAACACAGCAGTGTTAACATTGCCATTTAGTAACAAATCACAGCAGTGTTAACATTGCTATTTGGTAACAAAATACAGCAGTGTTATCATTGCTGTTTAGTAACAAAACACAGCAGTGTTGCCATCGCTATTTAGTAACAAAACACAGCAGTGTTACCATTGCTATTTAGTAACAAAAATAGGTGAAAGGGTGGTACCTACCCAGACTGATACCATGACATAACAGGAGTCCTACCGCCTATGTTATACGTGATAGAGCCATGCTACCTGGGACAAATAGTCCGACTAGGTTAGTCCAACTTCGACCGAGAGGTCAATCGACGGATTCAACTCGGCTGGGCAGCGTTCGGGAAGCTACGACACATCTTCTCGTCAGACATACCTCAAAACCTTAAAACGAAATTGTACAACCAGTGCGTGTTGCCAGTGATGACTTACGGAACTGAGACGTGGTTCTTCACTGCTGGCCGTATGAGGACGCTCATGGTCGCTCAGCGAGCTATGGAGAGGGCTATGCTCGGAGTTTCTCTGCGTGATAAACTAAGGAATGAGGATATCCGCAGTAGAACCAGAATAACCGACATAGCCCAACGGATTAGTAAGCTGAAGTGGCAGTGGGCCGGCCATATAGCTCGAAGAACCGACAACCGATGGGGAAGAAAGGTTCTCGAGTGGCAGCCTCGTACCGGTAGGCGAAGTGTAGGGCGTCTCCCCACGAGATGGAGTGACGACCTGGTAAGACATGCAGGAAGTCGATGGATGCAGGTGGCTCAGGACCGTGCTTTGTGGCATTCTGTGGGGGAGGCCTATGTTTAGCAGTGGACTTGTGAAGGGCTGTAATGAATGATGATGATGAGAGCCATGCTATATTATGGTTGTAGTACGAATGGGTCGGCTCAAACTGGGAAGAACCACGCTCTCATAGAAGACCAGCGTAAAATAGCAGCTTAACGCTGCTGTATTTCGTACGGTGAGAGTAGAGATCCGGAGACCCTTTTTACTGGAAACGAGGCATTCCATTTTAGTCCTCACGTGTCGCAACGCATCTGCATTTTGATTCGTAATCGAATATAGATGTAGATGTCTATGGGCCACAGCAAACACTTACCATGAGGTGGATTGTGTGCTTGTTTATCACCCTTATCCTATAAAAATTCCTGTAAAAGAAATATATATATTTTTGTTGTATCCACGCGTGACTTACGTCGTCGCATCGATTATTTGGCGTCAGTATGTCGATCGCAATACATGATGACGTAATTGGAGAGACCCCTGGGACAATAGTTAAGTAACTAGAAAAATGTTTTAGTAATATAGCTAGTTAAATATTTTTCTGATTTTTAATACATGTTGGTTT